TACCCAGGGTGACAGAGTGAGATTCTGTCTCAAAAAAACAAAAGAGGCTCGGCGCCTGTGGCTCAAGCGGCTAAGGTGCCAGCCGCATACACCTAAGGTGGCGGGTTCAAATCCAGCCCGGGCCCGCCAAACAACAATGATGGTTGCAACGAAAAAATAGCCGGGCATTGTGGCGGGCGCCTGTAGTCCCAGCTATTTGGGAGGCTGAGGCAGGAGACTCGCTTGAGCCCAGGAGTTGGAGGTTGCTATGAGCTGTGATGACAGGGCACTCTGCCCAGGGGGAAAGCTTGAGGCTCTGTCTCAAAACAACAACAACAACAACAACAACAAAACAAAAGGAAGAAAAAGAAAGAGAATGTTACACTGTGACATCCACTTGTAGTCCCAGCTACTCAGGATGCTGAGACAGGAAGATTCTTCAGCCCAGGAGTTTGATTGAGGTTGCAGTGAGCTGTGATGATGCCACTGCACTCCCGCCTGGGCAACAGGATAAGACCCTATCTCAAATAAAAATGTCTTCGGAAGAAATGTAGTAAAATCAATAACAAAGTGCCTTTCTTCCCACTTGTGGTATATAAGCCAAATAATGCTCCTCAAAGCGTCTACTTCCTAATCCCTGAAACCCCTGAATATGTTATGTTCCATGGCAGGGGGGAATTAAGTTCGCAGAAGATCAAAGATGACTGATCAGTTGACTTGAACTGGGCAGAGTACATTGGACTGTGCAGGTGGGTCCAACATAATCAGCAAGGTCCTCCTAAGAGGAGGTAAGAGGATCAAAGCAGAAGTGAGGACAGAAACCAAGTTGTAAAGATGCAATTTGAAAGTGGCCTCAAGCCAAGGAACGCAGGTGGCCTCCAGAAGTTGGAAAAGGCAAGAAGAAAGATTCTCTCTTTTTCCCAGGGTTATTCCAGCCTATAACATACCTGTGAGCTCTCAGTCACAGCCAGGCTGTCTGGACAGGGGCTGGAAGGGTTTCAAGCCACTCACTGGGTGGGGTCCAGCCTCAAGAACACAGAAAGGAAAAGAGCAAAGCCCCTTGGGGTGTCCTCTGGTGCTCCTGGGATTGTCCACATCATAAATGCCCCCTGGCTGGTGTGGCTGGCCCAGATGCCAATGTGGGCTCCGAGATGGGGACATCTACCTGCAATCCGGGTTCCATGAGCCTGTAGTTTGCTCCCCCCCGAGAGCAGGGACGACCTTCCTGTGTTGGGCCACCAGCAGCAGCTCAGAGCCCTCACCCCAACTGCCCCAGAGGCCTGATATTTAGCCCTTGCTTGTGATCCTTGCACCCTCTAGTGGCCATGGGAAGAAAAGAGGCCCTCACTGGAGAGTTAGGAGCTGGGTCCCAATGGGCATTGCACTGTCA